AAATAAATTGAAATTTATAAAACATTATTTACAAAAAAAAAATAATAATTTAACTCGTACATATAACCACTAATTTTTCAGTTTGACCCTTAAGGTTTGTTTTTTCCCCTTTGGTCTTTCAAGTTTTAACATTTTTCTAGTTCATTCCTAAAATTAATTTATATTAAAAATTAGACAAAAAATGATACATTGATAGTCCCGTAATATAAAAATATTTTATTATATATAACTCACATCTTTGATGTAAACTTAAACTTTAATATAATAATATACTTTTTATCTTATGTGGCAGCTATTATGACATTTGTTTGTCTAATTTTGAATAGAAATTAGTTTTAGAAATAAATTGAGAAAAATTTCAAACATAAAGAGTCAAAGTGAGAAAAAATAAACCTTAGAGACCAAAATATGAAAATGACCAAACATAAAAGGGGCAAAATGTAATTTGCCAATTATAAAAATACGGGAGGGTGAACAACCAAGCCCAGGCATTCCTCATTGTCTACCTCCCACTATCTCGCACCTGTCCACAACTCTCTCTCTCTCTCTCTCGGTATCATTCCGTTCCATGTCCATTGTATTGAGTCCTCATTTGGCATGATACTTTTTGGAAGGTGGGAGTTAATTTAGTCGCAAAAAGATAAAATAAGCTAACAAGCAAACAAGACAAAATATCACATCCAAACCATAATCATTTCACTTTTTCTCTCACAAAAGTCAAAAAAATCAAAAAGTCAAACCCAAATGAATTTTTTAGCTCTAGGCTAAACAAGTCAAAAGTCAACCCACTTCCCAAACGAACCTGAGTTTGAATATATGTGTCTGCAATTAAATAATGTTTTTTTGTATTCCTCCAATGTCGGAACTGAGTTATTTGCAAAACTCTAAGCTTGACTACACATGTCCATCATCCTCAAGAAGACGGCATTATTTAAACCAAAGTTGTTAATCATGTACCAGACAAAATATCATTTTTTCAATTGGTACGGTATTTACTAGTATCAATATGTTTCTAAGTACTGTTTCGGATTCATTGTAAAAATGCTATACATGTATTGAAATATTATCTAGTAGCAAATAATTTAAGTATACAATATTATGAAACACAAATTTATTTGTTGAAGAAGCTTAAAACATACCATGTCTGCTGCATAATTGTTAGGAAGTTCAAATATGTAGTGACAAGGATGTTCCTTGACATATTTACTTTGTTACATATATTTTGTATTAAAATACTATAAAATGCTATTATTTAACAACATAAATTCATTTTTAATAAAATTCATAATTTTAGATTCATCTTTTCGAGATCTTTAAAACAATGCTTATATCGAATATAAAATTCAAAAAATAAATAAAAATAAATAGACTAAGGACAAAGCAACAGATAGAATTATTTTTGAAGCAAGTGAAGGAAAAAAAAAAAACCCCACGGTAAGGCCACTATGTATTTGGTAGCATTCAAACTATGGTCCAATACAATAAAACTAGAATTTTTCTCACTACGTGGACTGAGTAACATGATTTTTTGGCCTTGTATTTGATGATTTATATAAAAGAAAGTATAAATTGAGAGCCTATATATATATTGTTGAGAAAATAAGCACGTGAAATAGTCTGCAAATGGATAGATCTCGAAAAAATATATGAAATGCAACAAAAAAAAAATCAAAATGGACAACCAAATGCAACGTTGGTTGTTGGGTTAGTGGGCTGGTGATTTTGTTCTCATTATGGGTGTTGGTCATTGTAGTAATTCACTTCATTTTATTTTCAATAGCATTTGTCTTTGAACAATAATATTGGATTCAACATGGCTTTTTTCAAGATATGCTGGAAATTTGTGAAAGCTGATGTGATACAATTTATGAGGGAATTTCATCATAATGCAAGTTTAGTGGGTGGAATTAATAGCTCATTCATTGCTTTAATTCCTAAAAATGATAGCCCCTCTTGCTTGGATGA